TCATTACCATTATTGTTGTTGTTACTATTGATATCAGTAACATCGGGAGATATCCCCCTCACTGTGCTGTCACGAGGTGTTACAGGTGCTTGGTGTCAAGAGTCTAGAATTATACGTATGCCTGCCTCCTTCCTGTTCCTTGAGGCTCGGTCAATGCTTTCGCGCTTGTTTGTGTGCTGATCGATGCATGAGATGCGATCGTGCTCAACAGCGGTTGCCCGGCTGCCCAAATCCAAAACAGGTGTACTGCAAGACTCCGAAAACATCAAGGAACGCAGCGGTCCTTGCAGTATTTCTCATCACAGCACTCGATGAAGGTGCTGCCCGTCTGGTTATCCTTTCGCGCGTGGACAGGTTCAATCAAGACAGGGTTCGTGCCGATTCTGGGTTTATGGATTTTTCGTACCGCGCTTCGGGTTTTAGGTTAGGGCCGGTTACTACAGGGTCCTTAATTATTAGAATGGGGCTTGGGGAAAAATTATGCCTCAATTATCATAAGTAGCGCATACTAGCTTTGAGGAAGCCCATCGTCCTTGTCTTTCTTGTCTGTCCAGGAAGGGCTGACGGAACAGTCGAAGGATTTGCAGCCTCGGCTAGATTGCGTCGCTGCTAACAGCGAATTACTAACAAGGTTCCCTTAAATTCTCGTTATAATCATAACAACATAACCCCAACACCATGTTCTGATTACATAACGATCATTGCTAGCTCGACGACCAGGGCCATGCCAGGCAGCTCTTCTCCTCGCAGCACTCGCCATACTCGGTACATGTCACATTCCATCTCCCACGACCCAAGTCGCACCCACAAATATGCGAGGGGAAGCCATGAGCACCGCCATAATCACAGCTGCTTCGCAGCTGCGATGGCAGTTCCCCCTAAACTAGACATGCACGCCCTACTTTGGAAAGGGGCCGAAGCCTGCTTTTCGCCACCTCCGGTGCTCTCGTGACCCTGCGACTTTGCAGACCCCAAGAGTCGAGATGTCTTGAACGCGCTTGAGCAAGGAGGAGGCTATTTACAGTTGTTATTGTCAATCACGGTATCACGGAATCAAAATTATCGTTGTTGGTACTGTATTAGTAGGTCTTCGATGTTTTCGCAGTCTCAGTTTCGGTCTTTGTATCAGCATTAGCATTAGTACCAGTATTAGTATTCGTGTTGGTACTAGTATTAGTATTGAATTAGCACTAGTCATAGTATGGGTGTTGGTGTTAGTGTTCGAGTAGTGTTAGTGTCAGAGTTTGTTAGTGCTAGCGTGTGAGTATTGCATTAATATCAGTACTAGTATTGGCATCGGTATCAGCATCAGTGTCCGTATCAGTATGGTATGAGTGTTAGTATTCGTTACTAGTATGAGTGTGAGTATGAACATGTACTAGAGTGAGCTATAGCATTAGCATCACTAATTTAGTACTGGTGCATGTACCTATTAGTAGTAGTCGTCTTCGTCGACGTCGTCTCGTTCTCGTCTCTTGGTCTCTTAGTCTCTAAAGTCTCCAAAGTCTCTATAAAGTCTCCTAGTCTGTCTTAGGCTCTTAGTCTCTCAATCGTGGTCCTTGTCTTAGGATTAGAATTGGCATTAGTGTCAGCATCAGTACTACCAGCAGTGGTAGTAATACTGTTGCTATTTCTAAAAAATGCTAGTCTTGTAAAATGAATAACCGCAAAGCTTGCCGAGGCTCGGAGGATCCTTGCAGCGTGTCCTCGGTCACCGCAGCTTCCAGCTTTCCCAACATTTGGGGACTGCAGTTTAGGATTAAGGGCTTAAGGTTTAGGTTAAGGGTGTAGGGACTTCAGGAAAGCTACGACAAAGCCCACAAGAATCCGTGTAGAGTGAAACAGCCTCTGAACAGACCTCTGGCGAGACGCGTAGGCTCCCTTGCGACCCTTCTTCGTGTTCTCTTCGCAGGTGTACTCACTGCCTGGGATGCGAGAAGAGATAAGGAGCAAGACCCCAGCACCAAGGATGAAGGATGAAGGGAAGAGGCGAGGCAAAATTCCGCCGCAAACTTGAGAAACCTACCCAGACGACCAGCTGCGCCATCTCTGAAACCCTAGCCAACATACACCCTTGGCACCAAACCATAACATGTGGCGACGGCGGCTTTCAGATTGCCAAGGCACACATGCGAGGCTCGCAGCAGTCCTGCTTGCTCCATTCCAAGGTGTAGAGAACTGATGTACAGATATTCGAGAGTTGTTCTTGAATAGGGCCTGCGTTATGATTGCAAGCCAGCGAGGGAACTTTAAGCAAGTTTGGTTTTGAAATTCCCCAAGATGATCCTGATTCTGGGCGCCCGGCTGGCCTTTAGAATCCCAACCTCTCTGGGCTTCCTATCATCTTAAAGGTCATTGCCACAGACGTCTAATCTTAAAGCAATGTAGGGGCCTTAATGATTAGAATAGGGTTTGGGGGTTCCCTTATTCTAATTATAGTATTGTATACCCCCCAAACCCTATTCTAATTATGAAGGCGCCTATATTACAGCACTTACCTTGCATTGTCTTGGCCCTAAACCCTAAACCCTAAACCTTGCATTTTCTTGGGGTGTGCGCCCCGGCCTCCTCTGCTGGTGGACGTGCAGCGGGAAGCGAACCAAACACGGGGAGATCCTCCTCCTTGGAGAACGGTTTAGGGCTTAGGGCTTTTAGGGTTTAGGGTTTTTAGGGTTTAGGGTTTAGGGTTTTTAGGGCTTAGGGTTTTGGGTTTTTAGGGTTTTTAGGGCTTAGGGTTTTGGGTTTAGGGCGTATCGTTTAGGGTTTAGGCGAGCACATCCCCGGTCACAGCTACATCCAAGCAAAGTTCAGGCTGCATGTAGTTGATTGAAGAAGTCTGGCCATTTACGGGGCTTCCTCCTGTTGTTCTGCTGCGCCCGTGGACACTTGCAGAACATTGCTTCTGAAAGCTCCCAGTATACTGGGTAACAGCCGACCGGTCTGCAGCCTGACTGAGCCCGGCGCTGAGTTGACGGCACTGCTTTCAGAGCCCTTCAGCGATTGCCACTGCAATACTCCATGGCAGTCCCAAGAGCAACATGTCCTTCCTGCCCAAGCCCCAACTACGAAGCACTCCGTATGGAAACACGATCAGCCAAGACCAATTCGCGCCGTGCCCAGTGAGCATTGATTGTAACTACAGGGAAGGATTCTTCGGCTAGCGTGGCTTGAAAAGGCTTGTAGCCGCTAGCAGCCGGCAGGTTTGCGCCTCTTGGTACGTCTCGGCAACACCTGCCGCCTGGCTGCCTTCACGGTATGCCACGGTCACTCTGTTTTAGACACAATCTTGCGCAATGCACCGCAGGTTTCGAAGCCTGGAGAGTGCGAGCTCAGAGAGAGCCCGGATTTCTCCTCTTGCTTCAACTCAGGGGCAGTTTCGCTAGCAAATGATCTCAGTAAGGCCGGAAGGTCCTCGTTACTCATGAAGCTGATCTGTTTCAACATTCCGCTGTCTTCCAAGCCGGTGTTCAGATCCACGGTGCTCCAGTTGACTCCTGCAGACCACGCGACAGAAGGTGGCCAGTACTTCGACCTACCCCCCTAAACCCTAAACCCTAAACCCGATACCCTACACGCTCTACCCTAAACCCAAAGCCCAAAGAACAATGGACAACTCACGCGGCAACAAAGAAGCGGTCCTGCCAGACCAACCGATGGATCTGGCAGATGTCCGACGCGATCCTCGGGGCTGCAGAATCGGAAGATTTTGAACTACCTATAGTCTCCATTGTAGTTCTTTTTGGGGGTTACCTTTTAGGATAGACTATAGGTAGTTTAAAAGCAAGATCCCCCCCGGAAAGGAAGCAAAGAAGAAGGCATGGCTTTTGCAGCTATTGAACCACAACTCCTACAGTATCAAGAGGCCACGGATTGAGCCCAACCCGCGGAGGACTTCGGTAGGCAACTAGACGTTCGGATCACCTCGAAATATTTCCACGTACTTCCTGCAGCTGCACATCAGTGGTTTCTGTATATATGGCTATACAGATATACATGTATGTATTTTCTCTATCTCTTCATACCGATCTATCTATCTACCTATCGATCTATCTATCTATCATCTGTCTTATATATTACAGAAAAGGGGCACATGGATGGTAAAGGCCGGGTGTCAAAGTGCAAGGGGTGACATGCTCACGACAGCAAAGCCAGCTCTTTAAGGGTTTGTGTAGAGTTTGCGGATTTAGGGGTTTAGTGGTTTAGGGGGTTTGGGGGTTAAGGTTTTAGGGGTTTGGGGTTAAGGGTTTAAGGGTTTGGGGTTTAAGGGTTTAGGGGTTTAGGGGTTTGGGGTTAAGGGTTTAAGGGTTTAGGGTCTAGCCTAAAGCTTAGGCTTTAAGGGTTTAGGGAACTGTTCGCCAAGCATCTGCTTCCGGCAGGCTTCCTGCATCCGCGCTGGATGCTACCTCACCTCGACCGTTCAGCAACCCAGGCCAGGAATTGGGGTTTAGGGCAGTTTAGGGTGGACAGCAACGGCATCGCAGAGCAGTCCCGTCCTGTTTCAAGCGGCTCTGCATCGACCAGCCTTTCGGCTTCCTGGGCATTTCTGCTTTAAGGGCTGGGAACTGACATGCGAGCAGAGTGGAGATTGAGCTTCACAGCGCAGACAACATCCGGCAGTGTCCAAGCCGGCTCCTACGACCTTGGTGCACTGCACTCTAGGCTCTAGGCAGCACGGGCACTAGTCACAGTCGAAAAGTTGGTAGAAAAACACAATTAGTTACATAAGCCTACATTCTTGTGAATTCATGTGGGAGAGCAAGCTTGACTGGAAGTGATAGCTTTGTCACATGCCCATCGGGGTTGTGAGCTCGCAGCCGTAGTTAGGGTTTCCACAGGGCTACTATATGGGGGGGTCATTGTAGGGTCAGTATAAAGGTGCTGTTCCGGGCACTAGAAGTCTATAAGGGTAACTGTTTAGACATCCCCAAGAATACACTGGGCACCCACATCGGGCTGCAGCTCACTTCAAGACTTCAAGCTGCGGCTGCACGGCAAGCGTCTCTTTCCAGCGGAATGCTCGCTGCATCTGCGCTGGAAGCCGGGTCGCCTGAACAAGCGCGACTAGCGCATGAGGATTGGCTTGCAGAAGCCCGGCCTCTTGAACAAGCTTGTGCCTCTGGCCTCCCCTCACAAGCTGTTAGACAGTTCCTGCCTGAGCGGCTCTCCGAAGTGATCGACGACCCGTCCGTGAGCACGGCGGCTGCAGTCCCGCCGGCCTCTATTTCTGAGGGGACGCGTGCACAGATCATCATTGCAAGATATCCCTAAACCCTAAACCCTAAACCCTAACCCCTAAACCCTAAACCCTAACCCCTAACCCCTAAACCCTAAACCCATCTCTTCGCAGGTGGCAGAAAGGTCCCGAAAAGCCAAGCAAGGGCCAAGTGTCGCTTGCGGAAGGCCGGCTCCCCGAGGAGGCCTCGCTTCCTGCCAGGATGCTCGACTCTGCCTGCGATGCCACTAGACGATAATAAACATAAATATGTATGTATGCATGTATATATATATATGTATGATATATGTATCTAACACACATTTGTGCATATATATATATATATGTATATCTCTCTCTTTCTCAGACATATTTCATTGTCGTCTTGCGGAGGTTCTGCATCATATGGACAACCTTCTCGCTTTGTCCTCGGCCTTGGCCAGAGGGTCCAGAAGTGTCGCGGGTGACCTGCTTCCACTTGCCACGCCATGTCCGTGTCATCGACTCGGTGGAAGCTCCCCGAATAAACCGAAAATCGGGGAGACCCGCTGAACTGCTGACACACTTCTGCTCTCGCACACCTTCTTGCCGGGCTCATCTTGAGTAAGAAGTGCTAGCTCCTGAGACCAGGCTCTTCACCAGCTGGGATTCGTGACTCAAAGAACAGTCTCAAGTCGGCATGGCTCTCTCTTCAGAAGCACACAAGCGACGGTCCATGAACATTGCTTCAGCAAGACCACCTGATATATTTCGTTAGAGTATATGATCAAAAACAGATGGTAGCCTACTAGAGTGTGTATATATATATATATACATGTATATATATATATATCATACCTATACAGCATATGAATATGAACAGCATATTAGAGATGCCGCATGGAATCGGTCCTGCGAGGCGCGGTTCACAGAACTGAGGAGCACCTTCAGCGCATCCTCCATGGCCAGACCCGAGACGTCCTGAGCCGACTGCGTTGTGACGGAGTCAGAGCTACACCTTCGTAGAAATTCTAGTGCAGTATACTGGTATATACTGTCATGTACTATAGCATACTGCAACATACTTACTCTAATCTTACTTTATGGTTCTTTTAGTAAAATACACTACAATCAGACTATGATTACTCTGGCCATACTGTAATCGTACTCTCTGTGGGCACCAGTGCCAAGGCGAGCGCAGGCGGGCTCGAAGTCTGTGATGAGGCAGGCGCCTCAACGCAAAGAAAGCGAGCGACCCAATGTAATGGAATATTATAGAAACTTGTAGAAGATTATGGTATATTAACATCGTATAGGGATAGCTCCAGCGTTTGATACATTGCAGAAGCATGCGAAGCTCTCTTGCAAGGGGAGCCTTGATCAACTGTTCCGAGGGTTTCTTCCGTCAGTGTGGCCGAAGGTAGTAAAGCCCTAGTCTCCGGCATCAGGATGTGCAATCGTTCACAGTATTACTGATGTCGGCCAACGGAACTTGTCGTGATGACTTCAATCACCATGCAATGCAACATGGGGAAAACTTAACGGGGGCGTCACTTGTTACTGAAGCTGATGCACTCGAAGAGCCACCAGCATGAAAGAGTATCGTCTCCTCTCGGGTGCAGCGAAGGGGACATCAAGTGAAGGGCAAGAGAACGGCTTCCCCACATTTTATGACTTTTCGGACGCAAAATGCAAAATCGGGTTGGGGATCCACTGAAAAAGAGCTAAACACATGTCAATGTGACTGGACGGAACTGACAAATGATGCTGATGGCGATTTGTGCTAACGGGCCACCCTATTGCGGACACAGCTGTGTCACCGACGATGCAACGCGACGACTCTGCAAATACAGGACTCTTGACTTGAACCCTAAACCCTAAACCCCTAAACCCAAAAAAAACCTAAACCCTAAACCCTAAACCCAAAAAAAACCCTAAACCCTAAAACCCTAAACCCCTAAAACCCTAAACCCTAAGACCCTATTGAACTCGAAGAAGCTTTGCTGCTTAGGAGGCACTTCTGGCGGCGTGGAGGGCTGCTCTGGATCCTGGGCAACACAGGAAGTACGGCAAGGACTCAAGAACTCAAGATCCGAACTCGAACCCTAAATAGGGATTCTCTTAATTGGGGGGGTCTAAACTCTTCTATTGAACCATAGAACCCTAAACTCTTAAGATATGAATGATACTGGCATTAATATGGGTATTTGTATTAATCTGAATATGAGTATGAGTACGAGTATCCGTAGGAGTACTGGTATTAATCTTAGTGTGGGTCTCAAGCCTCACTGCGCGCAATCCCTTGCACCTCCTGTTTATCCCTTTCATTCCCTTTCGCAGATGACTATCTGATTGCAGGCCGCTGCAGCCAAGGGCCAAGCATGTTCATGACTATTCCTATACCACTACTACGACTACGACCACAACAACTACTAATTATACTAACAATAACAACAATAGTAACAATAAACAAGCGACTGCAGCGATGATTATGAATCAGACCAGTCCACTCTAAGTCTAGCTGCTAGCTCTTGGGGCAAAACGTGAAAACCAAGTGCCACAAGCAATTGTGCAACTGCAGTAACCGTAAAAAACTTGCTGACCATAAGTTCTCGAAAGCTGTTGGGCTCGGATCAAGAAACACTCTCACTTCTGACGGGCACCGGTGCCTCTTTGGGAGCCGCATCAGCATCGGCCCGCGAGGTGCCATCAGGCCTGGTTGATTCTCAATGCTACACTGCACCTGACCCGCTAACCCGAAACACGGGACAAAAACAGCTGACCATGTCTGCGGCATGGACTCCAGGACTCAGGAAGATACCTGGGCGCTTCCTCACGCGACGGCCTCGAAAGTGGAGGTGCAGAGATGCCCGCCTGCGTCCACCACAAGCTGGCTGTAATATACTACTGCAAACTCAGAAAGGCGGACCGTCTTCTCCAAACAAGAACAGACTCTCCACCGCAATCCTGCAACAGCAGCATCAGAGGTGTGCGGCAGAAATTGTGAGTGGGCCTTGGCCTTCTCGACTGCATCTTCTGCAGCTGGCTCTGCGGCAGAAGACTTGCGCGACGCCACCACCTCCACCATTTGTCGATTTCCCATTCTTGTGGGGTTTGTACTGCTGCCGGGAACAACCGTTCTGACAAAGCTCTTGACGGCATCATGAGCTCCTCCCCGGTCTGACTCAGCCGTCGGCATTTCTCCAACTAGCCGCAGACAATCGTAAACAACTTGCTGACCCTAGTTCTCGAAATCTTTTGGGCTCGGATCAAGAAACACTCTCACTTCTGACGGGCGCCGGTGCCTCTTTGGGAGCCGCATCAGCGTCGGCCCGCGAGGTGCCATCAGGCCTGGTTGATTCTCAAATGCTACACTGCGCCTGGCCCGCTAACCCGAAACTCGGGACAAAAACAGCTGACCATGTCTGTGCATGGATTCCAGGACTCAGGAAGATACCTGGGCGCTTCCTCACGCGACGGCCTCGAAAGTGGAGGTGCAGAGGTGCCCGCCTGCGTCCACCACAAGCTGGCTGTAATATACTACTGCAAACTCAGAAAGGCGGACCGTCTTCTCCAAAGCAATCCTGCAACAGCAGCATCAGAGGTGCGCGGCAGAAATCGCGAGTGGGCCTTGGCCTTCTCGACTGCATCTTCTGCAGCTGGCTCTGCGGCAGAAGACTTGCGCGACGCCACCACCTCCACCATTTGTCGCTTTGCCAATCCCATGGGGAACTGGACAACGCAAGTTTGAGTTGTTTGGGCACCCATCAACACCGCTCCACAACATCACTTGTTGGGGCTCTATTGTCTGAAGTTCAGTTGTGCCACATGCGGGATGATGGCAACCACGTTTTTGACAGGACACGGTGCTTATCTCGTGTCGTGGCAAGACGCTAGCGGACAACGGACTCTTGCAACGAGTCTGGTTTGACATCAATGCGTCAGTTGCTGCTCTGCCATGAGGAGTAGAAGCCCGAATGTACGAACAAAGCTCCAATATGCTATATAATAAACTACGATGTACCAAAATATAGAACAATGTACGATAAAATACCATCTCACTGGTATACTACGTACAACATAATCTGTTATGAAGTACTATAATGTACTATGACTTGCTAGTACTACAGTGTACGAACATGTACTTTGATATACTGTGCCGATACTGCCGCTCTGGATGAACACCTCGAAGGAAACGCCTGGTCCTCCACGGACTGCGATTCTAAAGAGGGTTCACCCACAGGCCGCTAAGTAGTTCCCTTTTTGTGGCTTATATTTAGAATCCTGTAAGGTAATCCCAAAAAAGGAACTACTTAAGGCCCTTTTTGTAGGGTTTAGGATTCTAAAGAGCCTCTGCAGCAGAGAGTTGAGCAGCCGGAGTTGCAGACGGCGCGGCGGCCTGGCCATGGCATCTCTGTGATCTATCTATACATATATATACATATATATATACATATATATACATATATGGTCGCCGCCCCCCCATGACACGCACCTATCCATAAAACCTCGGCAGGCACGATGAAAATGGCTTTTTTCCTCGAATCGATTTCGATGCGTTTAAAAAAGCAGCTTGACAGTATGAGTATTCATCTTAGCATCGGTGTGTTGATTAGTAT